ACATGCTATTTTCGTCGGTAAAGATCTGCGGAACACGCTGTCCGGACAGAACATGACCCGAACACCTACAGAACCTTCCTCTTCCTCATCAGCCCACAGGCTACGTTCTTCACTCGTTACCTGTCAGAATGCATTGTTTCTAATCAGTGGAAGGCCAGAAGACTGTGTTGTCCCACAATAAGGGTGATCTCCACGACACCGGCAACTTTCGTCCAATCTGCTTGTTGCTTGTAGTCAACTAGACCTTTCCAAAATTAATGTCAAATTTCTGTTTTCATTCTTCTTGTATATTTATTTTTTATTTTATTTTAATTGAACCGTCTTCACGTCTAGTGTCCCGATCTCAGTACTCATATTCTATTCGTCTACTCACATTCGTTGTCCACGAAGATCTTCTAACTTTCACGTGTGGATTCGGTTGTTGCTTGAGGATTTCCATGTCATCTTGAATGTGGTAGAATGCTGGTGGAGCAATTGTACCCGGAGTTCTGAGATAGCAGGGCTGCAGCGTTCCCAATTGGGTTGAAGAGAGTAATTTTTTTCTCAGACAAGCCCGGTAGCAATTTTCCGACCCCAGAGAGATGAGAGGTTTGGGTAGCCCGGGGCGGAATCGAACTAGGACCATGCTGTGGTGAAGAACATCACTACCACTGTGCTATCCGCCCCTTTCTTCTTGTATATGTGCTAGCAACAGTTTTTCCTTCCAATTCTTCGATGTTATGTACTATTGCAAAGCCCATCCTATGCATCTACGATGTTTATAACTAAACTGTGATGTAAAATTATGTTTTCGACAAATCTTGAAGGTTAGAATTTCAAATATGGAACCAGGAATTTGTTGGAAGTATGCAAGGCAAACGGCTCGAAACGGTGAGACATATGACCAAGGAAGTGCTAACGAATGCACAACACAATGTTAGTTCCAAAGATTTGTTTGCAACCAATTCGACCTTGAGGTTGAGAGGAATCGCGGATGTCCTCCTGCTATTGACGACGATAAACTGAAGTGAAGGAAATATACGTACAAGAACTCGTAGAAGGAGTCTGTGTAAGCACCTATCTCTCCGTCTATCTTTGTGCATGACAGTAATTGGAACAAGAATTGAATGACATTTAGCGAAATCGCAGTTTTGAGGTATCGTCGGCGCTTACTCTGTGTAAACAGGATGTTTCGTTTCTTGAACATGTTATTACGTGCGTGCCGGCGACGATCGCGACGATCGACTAAGTAGTTGGACCGTGAAGTGGCTCCACAGCACTTCCTAAACCAGAAATTGTACCAAAGGGAGCTCTTGCTGACGGTTTGGTGGTCTACAAGTAGCCTGATCCTTCACGCGCTTCTGAGTCCGAATGAGACAATTACTGCGGAGAAGGACCTCCAACAGATCGAGTAAATGCACCAGCAACATTAAAGGTTGTGTCCGCATTGGTAGACAGAAATGGACCAATCCTTCTCTACGTGAAACATCCACAATGCTCGCCAAAGCTCTTGCTAACTGATTACCACTTTTTTTATGCATCTCAACAACTTTCTATGCGAGAAATGTTTGAGAAACCAAGACGAAACAGAAGCGGCCTCCTACAACTTTGGGGCCTACAGAAGGCGAGATTTTTAGGCAACCTACATAAGCAATGTTTCATGTTGGCAAAAATGTCCACATTCTAATGGTTACTATTGTGATTAATAAAGTTTATTCTGAGCTGAGATATGCCACCCTAAAAATGCAGATTAAAATAGGACACTAGCTTCGAAAAGGCCTAATCTATACCCCTTTTCCAAAGGTATTCTAAGCTGGATGGACAGCAATGCCAGTAGGTAGGATTCTTAAAGGGATTGAGTACGATGGACCAAGTCCACACGGCGCCCAGACTCATAGGATTATCACGAGGGTACAAGAGAGTGAGTGCTTTCATCTTATTTGTTTACGTTCCTATTCTCCACGGCATAAGATGGGACAAGAGGAAACGTAGGATAGAAAAGCCAAGTGCGCAATCGGTGCCTTTCGCACTCAGCCTCAATGATTTTCTAAGCCACAACTAGCCTACCATAATGCATTTCCAACGCGGACATACAACATAGTTGGAGCAACCGGAGATCTGTTGAACATGAAGAACCTATCGAGAGCAGGTCTGTTCTGTTATGAACATCGTTTACTATAGGTTAAGCTGATCATTCCAGTTTTCTCTAAATGTACGCAACAGAAGCGCTGAACGGTTTTGGCAGCGTATCATCGTCATTTCGAACCACTTTCTACACGTCTATGGTGACGTCATTGTAGAACAGCATTTATTTTGAAGTTCATATAGAACTTATGAAGGACCTTTTGCTGAATAAGAACTATTTGATTCTAAGTGGCAACAAGAATCGCTTTCGTCCCAACAAACCTGACATAGTGATGTGAACACCGCCTATGGAGCGGGTTTGACTAATCAGTGGAATGAGGTCAAGTATGAAAAGTCTCTTGTGACCCAGAGGTTAGAGCTCTACGCTGTGCACACGTGTTTCGACTTCACTCCCCAATCTTACCAAGCCCTACATCCTACAGAGTCGTGAATTGCTGGCAAACTTGCGTGCCAGGTCGGCAACACTGACTCGATGCTTGGGCAGGTCGCTCAAGGCATTGTAAGGGCCAAACATGCAGTCAACCACGTCTACAAAGCTTAACGGAGGCACCTGCATTGCTCATGCGGAAGTGATTGGCAAAGTTGAAACGCTTTATCCTTACTTCTACGGCCTGCTCGACGTTGATCAGTCCGTGAGGGATGCACCATGCACTCCACTCCATTAACCATCGTTGGAGGTGAATGAATGCATATCTGGTCCTCACAATGGGTCGCGGTAGCCTCCTAATGTATCGAGCCGGTGCTGCTGTCTCCACAGACAAGTCTGGTACCATTTTGCCGATCACGGAAGGATGGAAGGCTTTGGTGGGCCTAGGGTGCGGCGATTGGTCTCATGTGAATTGTAGACCGTCGCTGACCACTGCGTTACAGGCGCACCTTTACGGTGTGTTATCTAAATTAATGTATCGTTACTGAAGTAGAAGTTGTTAGCATAGCTCATCGTGGTGCACTGCCGACGTAATCTACCTGCATTCTGATGTAATTAACGTATGAGAAGCAAGGTAGATGAGTTATCTTAGCTGGCGTTAGATTCTTGAGATGTTCGTGTTCCCAAGATTGCATGTCGAACATCGGAAAGGAAAACGCTTACGAAAAGATATCCGTTTACGTTTTCAGTACTTTTGATAGCAGATAGATGGTCTTCTTCAGTGCATTTCTGGAAGCATTGCCTATTCCTTGTACATCCGGGAAGATGACCTTCTTGTTGTTGAAACAGATGGATTCTTGGCAGGCATTGCGGTTGCTCCTCCCATTCTCTGCGCTTCGATCAACACCGCTGTGGTTTTGTTCCTAAGATTCTCACGTCTTGTCGCTTCTCCCGGCAAACGCCTTATACGGGCTTTTGATGTCTCAAAAAATTGATATTCATGAGGACAGTCATGTAAATGAGAACACCAGCTACGTCAATTCTACCCTTCTGCATGTTTGGAAGAACACTTCATCTCCGGTGTGACAAGTGTGACGTCTATCGGGGGGAAGGGCATCGTGTCATCCCATTCATCCATCTTGAACTTGTTCTGCCTGCGTTGTACAATCGGAATCATTGTGTCTCGAACGTCCTTTCGATAGTTCCTTGATGTCCTTTCCCTTCATCTTTAAGAAAATAAACTTCCACTGGCTATGTATTAGTTTCCTAGCTATGTAAGCTCCATCAACGGTTAACCACCCGAATCTTTACCCTTTACGAAGCAGGTCTTCGCCTCAACTCTGCTCTGAAGAGGACACGTTCAGAAACCTTACGACCCATGTCGCCATGACTGCATTTGCGCGTGAAATCGAGCGTATTTCCGCAAAATCATTCCGCGTACTATTTGTTTTTGTCTAAATTTCCTACTTTCTTCATGGTTTTGTAGCTTGTCGTTTTTCCACTGATCTGGCATCGATCTGTTTTTTTGAGAATAGTCGAGAACTGTGGTAGTTGTTTATTTTTCTCTGTAATCACGAATTTTTACATCCATAAGGTTGCTGTTAGAGGGGAAGGACGGAAACGCAGTAGCTGGGATGTGGAGCACTCGTTGTTATTACGGGTTTGTTAATTCCTAGCCTTCATACCACTCAAAAATCTTTGATGAAACCACATTTCGCAGAGAAATAGAGACATCTTGTAGCGCAGAACTTCGCTCATGGTAGTGTTGTGCTCTGAGATGGTGTTATCCTTGCAATGCTGTTCTGGAAACCGAAGGGAAAGCAAATGCCGTTCCGTTCTGCTCTGGGTTTCTTCAGTTACTTTTGAGATAGCTGTAATGATTTTTCTTAGGTTTCAAGTTGGTGTTCATCTACCCTCCATGGACGCATCAGAAGGCCCTTTCAAGGTTGTGTGAAAGTGGTTCTACCATGATTAAATTTGCACTTTACTATATTTTTTTAAAGAATTTTATTTGTAAGGCTACACTGTGGTTAACGAAAACTACTTCGTTTAGGTTTTCATTGGGAATCTTCCCTTCGATGGAGTTCAAGGCGATATTGAACAGATTTTAAGACATGTTGGGTTTACAAACGATCAAGTAAGTGATTGATTTCTTGCTGCACATTATTTTCAATGTAATAGTATATCTGGGGTCCAGTGTTCCACCTGAATGAACCATATTTTTTGCAGCGTTTAGTTGAGGATTTAAATCTCCACACTTAGCGATCTTAGCGTTTTCGTTAGATGACAGAATAACCCCCCTCCTGTACAAACAGAGGGTTATGATTTGGTATTCTGATAGTTTATGACGTACAAAAAGCTCCTGTTGGCTTCTAACGTTTGGATCAGAGCGCTTCAGAAATTTTTTACTTCGTTATTCGGTTATTACAGGTTTATCTACCCGAAATATATATGTGGACGTTAGAATTTTATGCTTGCTTTTTTCATTGTTCCATTTTGTCACTTGAACATGTCTCTCTGGCTCGTTTTCCAGATCCATTCATTCCGCATTCGTATGATTCGAGACCGTGAAACGGACAAGTTTAAAGGTTTTGCTTATGTCGAGTTCAACTCTACAGACGAACAAAACAAAGTTTTGGAGCTGAATGGGGTGGTAAGTGCTATATTGGTTGTTGATTGTGATGATTATGAGAACTTTTTGGTGTAAAGTTTTGAGTGCGTGGTGAAAACTGTCTAGGTACTGTACTAGGTGTGAGTTTTACCATCAGAAGTCTTTATACTCTATGACTGAGGCCCAAAAATTTGCAAGCTGGTCATGTCTGGAACGATATCCCTAAGTCGAAGAAAGGTAGTTCAATGCTTGTATATTTCAACAAAACCCTTTACAGGGTCATTACAGAGCCAGTTCTAATGGGTCTTACCAGTTTCATTCTATATTTCCCATCTAAATTAGCTTGAAATCATCAAGAAAGTCTTCGTTTTCTGTGATGTTTTGCCTTTTCTAGACAATTCGTAAGGAAGGATTGATGCAGGTCGTAGTGAGAGTTGAAACGCTTTAAAACTACTTGAATCTTTACTTCACTTTTTTCGTGACCAGTGATAAAAAGAGTAACCGTGGATCGGTCTGGTTTGGAATCCAAGTTTTCCGAATATCTCAGCATCGTTGTGATAAAACTTAATCTTTAAGAAATATGAATGTGTCGTTTTCTTGTTCAGCAATCGCGAGGTTTTTAAACAGCATACATTTACTTCCATAAAAACACAATACAATACATCGCTAGCTGATGTTTCAGCAGTATCGCCTTCTTCAGAGCCGTTTTTCGTGACTGGGGATGGTGCAGCCGTCATCCACATGCGACTATAATCAGCTGTTCTAAACTTCCTCATTGGAAGTCACGAAAAAGCGGCTCTGAAGAAGGCGATACTGCCGAAACATCAGCTAAGTATTGTATTGTGTTTTTATGGAAGTAAATGTATGCTGTTTAAAAACCTCGCGATTGCTGAACAAGAAAACGACACATTCATATTCCAATGCATTGTGTTTTTTATGGAAGTAAATGTATGCTGTTTAAAAACCTCGCGATTGCTGAACAAGAAAACGACACATTCATATTCCAATGCCAAGGTTAAGAGAAAGTCGATCCTGGGAACTCTTTAAGAAATGTTTTGAAAGCTTGTTCGTTATACACGTAGTTCCATTATAACTTTTTCGTTTGGGTTTCTTGCATGTAAGCGTAACACCAAAGAAAAGTCTTTCGTATTCGTGTTGAAATACATTTGAAAGTAACGGAAGGAAAATTGACAAGAAGGTAGATAACTATTCTTACTGCCGAACCTATTTACTTATTCTTAGTCATATTGGGTGAAGTTTTTAAGTGTGCTTAAGCTTCTTACGTTGCATGGTGGTCAGTGTACCTTCTAGAAGTTCTTAGTTCCTATTTTCCATGTTTTCTTTATCAGTCTGGAAGTAATCTATTTACTGTCCTTCAAGTAGAATATGCTAGAAGTTGGAAATATTTTAGGAATATGGTGGTAGGCCTCTCAAAATCGACGTCGCAACACAACGCTCAGGTGGCGATCGTGGAGGTCGTAAAGGAGGTGCTCGAGGAGGAGGAGGAGGTTGGACCACTGTTAATCAGCATGACCGACGTGGTCACAGCAGTAATTTTCGGGACAGTAACAATGTTCGGTCACGACATCGCCGTTTAGAACAGCATGGCGAGGACACCGGAATAGGTCTTCCTTTTTACCATATTCTTTTGAAGCAGTGTATTTTTCTTGTTCCTAGTAGTGCACTTCAGTGGAGCATCCCGAACGCCCTCGATTGGTGCTGAAACCGCGGACAACCGACCCAGCAGAACTAGAGGCGAAGCAGAAGCGTGAAGCTGAAGAGGAGGCAGCACGTCGGGCTAAGTTGTTCATCGCATAGGTGTTTACCTGGGATATTCCACTAGCCCGATTTTAAGGTGTTCTATGTGCACTGTTTTTCCAGAAATTCTTACAAGTGATTTTTGAAAATCTTCATTTGTACTTAGTGACATTGAGAAATGACGTTTATCGGGATTTGAGCTTCAGTGAAACCTCACAGTTTAGTCTTTTGATATCAATCAACAAAGTGTTTTCTTATATGAATGTGTGAGTGATTTCTTATCTTGTTCTTAATTATTGGATGCCTTGCTAATAAACTGATTACTCTACTTTGTTGACTTATCGATTTGTCCACACTACTGGGGTTTTCCTTTTATCGAGTCCTTTGTGTACTTCTTCCAACCTAAAAGTCGAAGTGTTCTGTATATTTAGGGTCATTAATCTTATTATATTTCCCATGGACTTATGTTGCTATCATTCTTAAGGACTTGCTCCAAAAATTGTTATTAATGTTGGGATTCAGTTCCGTGTGCTCATTGTATTTCCTGCTTACTTTACAGGTTATATGTCGGTTATCTCGTTTTTCTAATACAATCAGTGCTCAATAGGTCTTGAAAAGCTGAAGAGGTAATAAGTTGGCCAGATTTCTTGAAACAAGCTCATTTTTTCGGAATGAATACCTCATTTATGCTTGTATTAGTTTTTCTTGCTGTTATAGGATGCTGCTGGATGCTGGAGATACTTAAAGATTCTTTTGGATTATTTAAAATTCAAGGTTGACTAGACCTAGATTGCCCAAAATCTACATATCTGTTCTGAGTAGATGTTAGGCTTCCATAAACTGTTTATTTTTTGTTCGTATTTTTGAGCAAACGCGAGGTGTTATTGTTCTTTGTTCACGATTAAGCTGACGTTTCGGCGAATTTCGCCTTCTTCAGAGCCTGGAAAGGTCAAGTTGATAGCAACTCACTCGGCCAGACGCCTCCATAACCAAACAAAGAAACCCCAGACCAAGATTTCAATCACTTTGAACACAGCTTTGCACACTCACCGCTTTCTATGAGGTCTCCACTAAGTATGTCACGTAGAGACCAACCGCACAGAAATCACTTGGAAGTATAATGTGCCCCTCACATCAGAAAAGCAGTTTTGTATACTGCCCTATATCACGCGTGATAATGAGGCATTCTTCCCTGACGAATTTGCGTGTCATCCTTGCGCAGGGGCCCCTGAGACGTAGACTTTCAATGTTTATTTTTTGTGTATCGAACCATGTTGGCTGGATGTTTGACTTTTAGCCAGTAGAGGTTTTGGTTAACACACAGCTCCTGGGAATGAAATAAAATGCGTTTGGTGCGGAAATAGTAACTATTTCCAGCAAACCTGTATTTCTCACCTCATATGGAACTTTATTCATTGGGAAAAAATCATTGAAATCTACGTCTCAGAGGTGGAAGTACTGTTACTTTATCTGTGTGGGATTTTGGTTTTCTTGAGCGTTCAGGCCTATCTCCTTCAACATTTCTGCATTAATCTCCAAACGGTTTACCGTTGTCATCATGGCTGAGAGGTGTTCTTGAGTGTCGGGCTGCGATGTACCGCGGGGATTCATCCCTTTGGCAGGGTCTCCCATGCTGAAAGGGAGACCGGTGTTTCCATGAGAAAGTTCTGTGAAGAGTAAAGCAATACCAGTATCCACCACAGTCCTGATATCAAACTAGTCGCATGGTGGCAAATCTCCGTCTGATCCACAATCGCGGCGACTGACTGTGGTTGTGACGACCTGAAGCTTGCTTTGGCTAGGCTGTTGTCGAGACTCTAGGGAACCACAATGGCTAAACCAGAAAACTCCGAAGAAATAGGAATTATGTGAGGTCCGCACAACCAGTGAAGACGGGCCATCCAAATGTCTAAGTATTTTTGCATCAAAGAGTCGCATTCCGAAGAGGAAGGCAATTGGACAGGTGGAATCTTGTTCGGCAAGATATGGAACTCTTCGCCAATGTATCGTTAAAGTTCGCAGGTGATATCTCTAATGTTGGGAACTCTAAATTCCATTTTCGGTTTTTGAAGATGCCATTGTGAACGAATTTGGAACTGAAGGAGTAAGTGTGTGAAGCTCCAAACTCCTCAAATGCTCTAGTTGTCGAGAAGCTACAGTTAGTTGTTGGAAAACAAGGTCCGCGTGTCATGTGTCAAATCGGAAATTACATACAATCAGTTTTTGTCAACAGATTTTGGACGGTTGCGTCACCCCAGGTCCACATCGCGCGCGGCAAAAGGGCGTCGCCACGCGAGCGCGGAGATCCGCCGCATTTTGTCATGGTTTCGGAGGAGGACGTCCAAACAAGGATATCAGCGAAGCTCACTCCGTCTCATCTGGTAGGAATTCTTAGTTTCCTCGGTTCCTAATCCTTTTTTGGGGTGCTTTTTCTGTGCTTTCACACCAGTTTCTTAGTTACAGTGAGACAAATCCGTTATGTGTCAGTGGGATGGGGAACTCCCGTTCTTGTATGCTAGTTGGGACACGTTGTTTTTCTATATAGAGATTGATTCCCACTGGTGCTTTGCCGTTTAGGAGGTTGTGGACGAGTCGGATGGCTGTGGCGCGAAGTTCGCCATCACCGTTGTATCTAATGCTTTTGATGGAAAAAGGCTTCTAGAATGCCACAGGTAGGTCGTAGTGTAGCACGGTGTCGCTTACTTACAAACGGTTGTTTCTAATTCATTCGCATATTATTTACTTTATGTCAATAGTTGATCGCGTCTAGCGTAGTGCTTAAAAATGCCTTGCCACAGACGTTGTTTTTGGTTCAATTCCAGCCCCCAAAGCTCACCAAGCTCTCCATCTTTCCGGGTTCGGGAAATTAGTACCAGACTTTACCAAACTTGAGTAGGAGAATAGCGGTATTGGCTTGGTTCATCGGTAGGCCACTGAAAGTCATTGTTTTGGCCAGATATGCATCCAATCACCTCCAAACGATCCTTGTTGAACTCGAATCCATGGCGCCTCCCTCAGAGATTGATCAACGCCGTGTGGGCCTTATCCTTTGTTGAAGATGCTCTACTTCTCATTGGCAGATGTTGAACTTGTGGAGCACAGTAAGTGGTGAAATCTGCGGACGATCTTTAATTCAGCAATCTCTGAGAGATCAGAAATCGTTTAACTTCAGGTAATGTTCGCTTGGTCGCAGATCTAAACAAATTAGACTATCTAATTAAAGGTCTGGTGGTGCTGTAACTTTTTTTCTAGTCGTTTCCGTGCCTACTAGTTCATGGGTTTTTGAAATTTCTCATTAATCTGCTGGCACTTCCACTTACCTTTCACCACGAAGCTGTCGTATAGTTGTGTGATTTCGTCGTAATTTCCACATAATCTGGAAATCCATTTTTATGGGTTTGTAAATAATGATTTTGGATTCTGAAATGACACTTAGCCAACATCTACCCAGAGGCGACAGACAGAGAAGTCCGATTTGCCCAAATGTGGAAATTGTTGCCCTTCTTTTTTTTTCGCACCACCACCATAGAATTGCATGCAAAGCGCAGAATCGGAGATCTCTTGCTCTCAAAAATTCATTCCTCTTCAAAATACGACATAGAATGGCTTGAGTGATTTGGTCTCAATGCATATTCAAGTGTTCTTTTCAGACTAGTTCAAGACGCGATTTCTGACATCATGCCCCAAATTCACGCCGTCACCATAAAGGCCTACACTCAGAGCAAGTGGGATACGGCACAATGAACGTGATCTAAGATCTGTGTCTCCATTTTTTATTTTTTTTTTAGTGTATGAAATAAATGTTCATTGACAAATGTGCGTACCTCATTCTGCCTGGGTGGAAAACGAAACCAATGAAGTCCGTACTTTGCTTTACTAAATAGCGACTCGTGGATGCGTTTATAGAATATTCATGCGTCTCAGACCAAGTTTGCCATTGCAGAGTTTTAGAAAGTGAATGTTTACCGTGTTGTTGGCCAGATGCTATCAGCAGTTGTTTTCCAGCAAACATATTGAAGGTATGTTGTAGTGATTGCCTGGTATTCGAAGAGTAGGAACAGTTCTAATTTCATGTTCTCAATCATTTGACGCTGGGATATTGTAGTTTGTCTGTTAAGTGTACACTTAGGATGTTGATCTCCGAGTCTAGCTATACTCCATGGTTTTTGATCATATTGACTGCATAAGAGTTTATAGTGGCGCTCTTCACTAGCCTCTGCAATGTACTAGAATGGATACTTCTGGAAACTGTTGGAAATCTTTTGTATTAAGTACAGAACACATCTGTTATGTAGTTTCATGTAGCTGTGACTTTCTCCAAACGTTTTAAGCGCTACGGATTTTTTTGACTCATTAGAATCAGCGCTTCTCTAGTCTTCTTTAATTTTCGTTCACTAGGTACGCGATATTTTATTTCAGAAAGGATCAACGTGGCATCTGACGAAGAACTGGAATTCGTGGACAGTTTAGAAGTGATTATTTTTTATGTTCATCTGAAATTTTCACCCAACGAATGAGGAAGTTTGGCATTTGTTAGCCAGTAGTTCCAAAATTTTCAGTTTACTTTGCAATTTGATCACGCCAGTGTTCATTAACGCATTCTCCACTTAATCGATGAAATCGTTCAAATTTCTCATGACCTTCGTTGACGAATGTTGTTTAACCACGTGTGTTCAAGGTTAAAGTTGACCCTGATCTGAAATCGCGATTTCTGTCTGCTTCGAACTTCCTATCAGCCATTGTCAGCAAACTTGAGCGCAGTGATCTTATGCAGTTCTATGCCCTCTACAAACAGGCCACCGTGGGTCAAGCAAGTGAGTCCTTTTAATGTTGTGGTGTATGATACTAGTAGATTCTAGTAGAGAGTAGGTGAATATTCTCACTTTTATTGATTTATTTATAGTGGTCTGTTTATTCCTTACGAAGTCCAAAGTGCCCTCATGGCTACCTAATAGTAAATCCTTTATATCCTTTGAGATGAGAACACACATTTGTTTCCATGCTATCACAAATGAAGGGTCAAATGTCCCTCACTACGGTTTACCGCCTCGTCATGGCTAGGAGGTGTTCCTGGGCGTCGGACTGCGATGTACAGCAGGGGTATTCGTCTCCCGAGCAGGGTCTCCCAAGCTGCGAAGGAGTCCGGCGTTTCCATCGGGAAGTCTAGCTAAGAGTAAACCAATACCAGGATCCACCACCGCCTTTGTATCAAAGTCGCATGGTGGTAAATCTCCCTCTGATCCACAGAGGCTGCAACTGCCTGTCGTGGTGATGACCTGGGGAGACTTTGGTCAGGCTGTCCTCGGGATTCCAGGAAACCACAACAGCTTAACCAGCAAATCTCCGAAAAATGATGGTTATGGTGAGGCCCGCACAACTAGTGATGACGGGCGTTCAAGTAACAAGTATGTAGCAAGTGTCAAATGTCTGTGATTGGGATCGAACAGACTACTACCCTTTCAGGGTGATAAAGCATTAACCATCACATCATGTGGGTCCTTCGTTTCGCCTTTCTCTCAGCCACTTTTCAGATTTTTCTAGATACATAATACTCTGTCGTGAGAAACTGTAGTAGGTAGTAAATAAAAGTTAATATTGTATTTTCAACTACAACCTTAGCTAAGTTCAATGCCGATTTAGCTTCTCAGATCAATCCCGTTGAAGCATGATTGCTGATGGCACTGATAGATAGGAAACTAGCTGAAAGAAATGCGAAGCGATGGACCTGCATGCTACAGTGGTGAACGCCGCCGGAAAGGGTAATAGCGCTTTCGTTTGCCAACTCAGACACATGTGGTCCGGAGTTTTGCAAATATCTCAACATCATTGCAGTTGTATTTCACGTAATACCCTACCGTGGAAAATTGTGGTAGGCAGTAAATGAGAAATTAGCATTATCAAGTGTCTATTTATTCGCGGATCTCCCTCATATTGGGGAACTCGAGCCGGTTTGTCGCGAGGCTACGTGGCGCGTCCCCAGGTGGCGGATAGGGGGTTAATCGCGGATCAAAAGCAACCTTTGCTTCCCTGAGACGCAAGTGGATCCAGAGGATGGACTCCGTTTCTGTTGCGCTGATTTGGCACATACTTTCTGTATTTGCTAGGCGTATTCGTGCATGCGTGTGTGGGTGTGTTCTTGCTTATGCGGATTGTATTCTACGAGTCATTTCGGCCAAAACCCTGCAATGAAGTGACTGGGAAGTGTATGGAAGCCGGTTAGGAGTCGCCTCCAACAAATAAGCTACATGTAAACCCTGGGAGAGCCTAGCAAGCTACCCGTGAGTATACCCAGCCCCCACGTTCAGAGCCCAGCAAGCTATACGTGGGTATCAAAATGTTAAACGTAGTAAAGAAAAAAACAGGCCTTATTCCACTTACCCCGAAAGAGCCGCCAAATTCGCAGCGTTGGACGAGTACGAAGAGGCTGATAAAATCTCAGGGCCAATGGAAGCTGGAATACAAAGAACTATGGTGACGATCCGTACCTTCAATACACGTGCACTCGCATCCGAGTCCTCGATGGAAGATTTGCTCATGCAAGCAAGAAGGATAAGGTACGACGTCGTCGGCCTGGCCGAGACGAGACGACGCCACCCATTCAACGCCGTTTATGACACCGGAGAAGAACTGTTGCTCGGAACATGCGACAGTGGAGGAGTCGGCGTTGTCGTTAACACGAGTTTGTCCATGAATATCGGTTCATTCGGACAGCTTACAACCCGAACCGGACGTTTACGATTAAAAAGATGTGGATCAATACCGGCTTTGACAATCTTCGTGGTTTACGCGCCGACATCAAACCACGACGAAGAAGTCGAAGCGCTCTATGTGGATTTGGAGAAGACCACACATTCTTCACGGTCATCATTAGAGATTTCAGCGCCAACACTGGACCAAGAAGAACGTCTGAGGAACGTCACATTGGGACCCATGGATTAAAATGGAACGAGCAGCGTGACCGGCTGTCTGAGTTTCCCAATCTGCTTGTTCTCTATCGTCTACAAACTTTTCACTCGAGTCTTCTTAAACAAGATTGACAGAACACTGGACGAAGAACGGCCATGTGAGCAAGCACGGTTTCGAAAGGGATTTACTACGATGGAGCATATTCACACGATAACAAGGCTCTTTGAAGTATCGCGAGAGTACAAAAGACCGCTCTGTCTCATTTCCATCGATTTAAAGAACACCTTTGGTTCAACAGATAGAAGCAGTCACGGTAGCCCTTGATAGTCAAGGAGTCCTTACTCAGTACATAGAGATTATTCGTGAGCTGTACAAAAATCTGACAAGCAAGGTATCACCCCATTCTACAACGATATTAACATTGACATCAAAAGAAGGGATAGGCAAGGCGATACCATCTCGCCAAAATTACTTACCTCCACCCTCCAGAACATCATACGAACATTATAATAGGATAACATGGGAGTGGAAATCGATGGTCTGCAGTTGCACCATCTCCACTTTGGCGACGGCGTCGTTCTTTTAGGCCTATGGAACGACTGGTTCTCGATTATATTTCATGAAAACGATGTTCATAAGGAAGGGGTTAGTCTTGTATGCCCCATTTACGTTCAACGGAATAGATATCTCCTAATGCTCCCGTCACGTCTATGTAGGTCGGGAGATCAACATTTTGAACGTCTTAGCTCCAGAGTTGAGCAGAAGGAAACGAGCGGCTTGGGGAGCTTTCAAAAACATCGAAAATGTAGTGAAGAGGATAATGAACACCCGACTCCGCACCCACCTTTTCGACTCAGCAGTACTTCCTATCCAAACGTATGCGCCAGAATCCTTGTCGCTGCGTAAGCAGTATAAAAGATCACTCTTTATCGAAAGGACGATGCTAGGAGTGTCCCGTTTCACACAAGTAAGGGATGGAATCCGAAGCTCCGATCTGCATCAACGATCAAAAATCAAAGATGCCATTCTGTACGCCAAACAGTCGAAGATAAGGCGGGCCGGACACGTAATGCGTGTGAACAACAACCGATGGACAGGAGCCGTTAGTGACTGGATTCCTCGGGATGTCAAACGTACTTCAGGATTACCACCGACCGATGGTCAGAGTTCTTCACGAAGAGCCTAGAGGAAAGATATGATGCTCGGCGAGTCCCTTGAGCGAGCAGAACCCACTGGGCTACTCTTGCACGTGGAATAGAAAATGGAAGGTTTACTGGCGCCCGCTCGAGTCAATCGACGATCAACTAGACTACAGGCAATACAGGTGATTTATTCGCGTACGCTGTGATCAATTATCATTATGACACAAGCAAACCATGCGTTATTTTCTTACTGTTCCCTAGCAAAATGTTGCTTGATACTTATTACTCGAATGGCCCTTCCTCATTGGTTGTGCGGGCCCTTGCATAGTCTCTATTTTTTCGGAGATTTGCTGCCTAAGCCATTGCGGTTTCTTGGATCTTAAGGTGAGCCTTGCCGAAGTCTGTCCTAGGTCTTCACCGCCGCAGGCAGTCGCAGCCCTTGTGGATTAGAGAGAGGTCTGCCACCATACGAATTTGAAACCAGGACGGTGGTAGGTCCTGGTATTGGGTTACTCTTAGCTAGGCTTCCTGATGGAATCGCTGCGCTCGTTCTCAGCTTGGGAAACCCTGCCAGGGGACGAATCACTCCGCTGTACATCGCAGTCCGACATCCAGGTGCACATCCCAACCACGATAAGGCGGTAAACCGTTGGGAGGAACGAAAGGTTAATAAAGTAAATTACATACTCAAGAAAGAAAATGTCGTAAATTTTCTAATTGCTGTTACTTTGCATCTGTTGTGCGAAACCACACCTCAGTTTATAACGGTTTCTATTGAAGTGGGTTGTATTTGCTTCCTGTACTTGTCAGCGGTGAGGTTGTCCCACGAAGTACACAATGATCGTTGACTTCGAAGTGGAAACTAGGAAGTTTGTCATATACTAAAGCATGTTCAAGTGACTAGAATATGACGAGTTTGTAAAAAGCCAAAAAGGGATTGAAATACGTGTGAAATGAGTGGTTTATCTCATGTTCAATCCATGGCTGCCGACAGGACTTTGTAATCTTCACATTTACGCCGAGTGAAAAGTAAGATGTGAGGTGGGGTTTTAAAATCATTTAGTTCAGATGACACTTAGTTTTAGTATTAGTGTAATAATAGGAGCAATTATTGTTTGCACAATTTTTCTCAACACGATGCAAGTTTATTTATTCCGGCAGAATAGAATTCTAATGTACTGGAAGCAAAGAATCGCAGTGAGGAATTCTTAGCGAAGGCTTCTTTTGTTAATAGTTTTTTCAGCTAGTATTTGTCTAAATGCTTGAAAAAAGGTATAGTTGGCGAAGCCCGTTGTTGTAAGTATACACTGAGTAGAGCAGAGTTTTCTAGCCCAATTCATTTAGCTTCTGCGGCGTCATTGTGTAACACTTTAGCGTTCTTCTGCAGGAATTCAACTGCAAGAGAGCTGAGCGTTTTTCGTCAACCATTTCTGGAAATACATGCTGCAGTTTCTTTTGACAATGAGTGTCTGCTGTGAACACTCAGGAATGTTGTACTAGTTTAACTTAGCTCCAAATCATCAAACAGTAACAGCATATTTGGTGTAAACTCGATCTTGAGAAGTGTTCAGGAACCACTAGTGTTCTCCAGCCACTAAGTTGAATGATGTCGGTTTCCCACTTTTCACCACTTCTTACCTTAGGTGCAATCGTTGTATTTGTGTACGTAAGGGGTGGAGAACATTTCAAGCTTCGTTTTTGGTAACTGTTTAATTCCTGTGATGCTCATCTATTGAGCTTTTCCCAATTTCTTCCAAGCAAGGTATTATTGTTTCATGGTTAACGTGGATTTCCTCTGCAAATGTTCTGTAGTTTTTAGAAGTTTAGGTTCAATTATCACACTCAAATGGTCGTTCTCAACAAGTAATGGGTGTTCAACAGCTTTTCCGTCATCATAACTTATATCACCTGTACGGATTTTTCGACATCGTGTGGTAGATAAGGGAACAAGAGGTTATTAACGCGGTGGTTAGTGACGCAGTCCACCAAGTAGAAAGATGCTGGTTCTAGCCCATCCGAACGCTCTCCTCCACTTGACGTGGAACTACCTTAGCTCGGCTATGTCCAAGATTGCTAGGGTAATCGACTCGACCAGCATTCTACAGCATTCACAAAGTAGATGAAATCCTCAGGCAGCATCCAAAACAACACGCAAATTTTTCGAAGACGATTGTGGACGATGAATGTGAGGAAAGGAATCGAATGCTAGAAGTGCTGGAATCCGTACAGTAGTTGTGATGAGAGGTCATGTGAGTAAAAAAAAAACCTTTTGGCGTTAATCAGTCCCTCAGGGATTCTCCATGCATTTGACTTCATCAGACATCACTGGATTAAATACATATCTGGCCTATACAATGACAGCGTGACTATCGCCAAGATTGCTAGGAGAATCGGCTTGACCAGCTTTCTGTGACATTCATGCAGGGGACAAAATCCTCATGGTACAGCTGAAACAACACGCCAAATATTGAAAAATATTGTGGAACGAGGAATGCGAGAAATATGAATCAATCGCAAGAGGTGCTGTGATCCACACGGTAGATGTGATGACGAGTCATTTAATAAATTTAAAAAATAAAAAGTATGAATGATGCGTCTTCAAGTTTGGTGGAAGGACACATTCTTTAGTCGTTCATTGAAATCTTTGCGACATTTTGAGAATTTTTACTTTTCAGCTTTAAAATAGCGAGATTTAGGGTTTGAAATGGTTTGATGGTTTCAGAATCTTCTCCTCTTCTGACAATGAAGGTTGTCACAGTGGAATTAGGTATTGGTGCTTTGCTTCGAGTCATCGTGGTTTTATGTATTTGTAAAGTCACTGGAGTGTTTTTACTGCTTTGATCGAAATGCTAACTTCTATGGTTGAGAGCAGAATTCTTACTGCAGCATGTAGTGTGCAGGAAATGCTTTGCCGACTTGAGAAACAGTGTAGCAGTAGCTGAAGATGAGTTATTAACAAGACGTTGGTTCACTTTGGCCATAATGTTGGTTTACTCGATAAAGCGCCACGTTATGTGGTGTTGGGCTTGATTTGGTTTAATGCACTTGTTTTCTATCTACCTGCGAAATCTTTAATATTAGTTACTGTGGTAACCCCACTTGTAGTAATTGCTGTACGCAGGATCGTTGTAAAAAAAATACGGATCATAGAGGCCTGCTTGAATTGCTACAAATTCTTGGTTTTTATTTTTTCCAATTTTAAAGTTTTCGGAAAAAAATTAGAGGTTTTTTCCTGAATAACCGTTCTTGTAGAGGATACTGACCGACCGTCGTTCTTCGATGCCAAGGGCAGATTGAAGTATGAGGCTTGGGCCCAACTTGGTAACATGCCAAAGGATGTCGCAATGAAGACGTAGGTATTTATGAAGTTGCATACATTAGACATAGGATATGTCTTGCCTTCCTCCAAATGTGAATTGTTAGCACTCACCTCTTTCACCTATGTCGGTTCGCAAAGTCATTGACGTATCATTTGTCCCATGTGTCATTTAAGTGATTAGGACTAGCTCCAGTAAAATCACCGTTTATCTCTGTCGCATGACAAAGTTGTTGCCCAGTCAATCACGTTAGTTGTAGGTACTCTAAGAGTATCTTGTTCTCGCTCTGGGATCTCTGCGATGAAGTCTGACCAGTTTTCCCTTCGTCTCATACAATTTTGCTTATCTGGGACCCACTCGCTAACAGCTCTAACCAACTGGTTGTTGTTGAAATGCTTCACATACGCAGTTTATTTGATTTTCGATATGTTGACATAAAAAACAGTGTGTCTCACCTTTGAACGTTGTGGCGAGTCGGAACTTTGGATTCCCTTCCTCGCTTGCGCGACATGCCGTAATCTTAACATTAATCTATCGCACTCGATAATGCTGAGCACCCTTTGAGTCAGCCTACATGGCCTTCATGTTTTCTGAAATGCACGGTATAGAGGAAGAATTCGCAAGTTGAGAATGTTGCGATATAAAGTTAAAAGTGTGACTACGGAACTCGTTGTTCTTTATCAGCTCCACTGCGTCCTCAATGTTTTTGTTATGCCATCAGGCGGCTCATTTTACACTACTCCATTCTGGATATAGCAGTTGCTAGTGGAGATTAGGTCTTCGAGTCAGTTCACGGCACCTTATGATCACTAGCTTTGAGTAGGATGCTCGACTTCGTAGAAGTTGCCACGCGGGACTTTTTCGTACTCGTCGCAGAGCATCTCAAACTTGGGTAATTAAACCGTTTATAACAATAATAATTCAAAAATAACGAAATATAAACATTGGTACAATACAGACTGCAATATTGTATCATGATCAATAAATGAGGGTAATGCAGGTTAGTATCTTTGCTATATGATGAGCTAGATGACAGCAATGTTAATATGCAACAGTTACCACATTCAACAAGAGAGAACACTTTAGATTGACTACAAGGCGCATTACACATGATGAACAGGGTGGCGAATACGCTATTGACGCACAGGGTTCTCTAAATATCTTCTGGAGAAGGCGGTGCTTTGGCACAGGTCCACAACCTTTGCCGAAAACACCCATCAGCTTGCGTCTCCAGCTTCCCTGTGATCAGATGACTGAGGACGGTTTGCCACACAGCTTCAAGCTCCTTTGTGTTACTGTACCCGTGATGGTTTGGAACAGATGCAACACACAAAAGGTTCCGATTGTATAAAAAGAGTGTGGTTCACAAAGGATGTTTACGACAATCAAAGTTTCTCTCAACAAAGTGAAAAAGTTTACATGCTGCAAAATCGCAAAGCGATGCTATAGGCCACGAATATGGTTGCCACAGATCTCTACGATATGATGAATGAATAGTAACTATTCCGGCAATAGTTGCTATACTGGACGTGAATATAGAAACATGTTGATATCCACACGCAAACACATAGAGCTGGGGTATTTGGCGCTATTCTTTCCCACAAACTTGAATGACGCATCGGAAACGACTATGTCCCTCTTGAACATCATTTTCTGGAGGTTTAACATGCAAATCCATCTAATTTATTTAAATCGCAAGTCGATAGTGCTTAATTTTATAAGAACGAAATCACCAGTGAGGTGAATGTGGTGTAGCTGCTGGTCATATCGCATTATCGAACCACTTTCTACGTACCAGTGATGTCGCTGTCCAGTGGTGAAGTTATTGGTGCGAACTTGTTGTATAACTCTTGAAGGATCTTTACTAATGAGCAAAGACTATCTGAATGTGCCGAGCTTTTATGGCCGTTTCTTTCTTAGCTGAGTAGAAAAGTTTGTTTAAGCCATTGAAAGTGAAAAAATAAGCTGTCCCCTACTCCTTCAGTACTTTGATATCCTTCGTTCCTTTCATGTGGATATAATTCGTCGTTCTGTACCCTTTTCGAGACCATTCTTGCTTACAGGAATGTCGCCCGTCCAATGTTTTATTAGTCCTGCTTAGATTAGCTGGAGCCTGTGGATACACAAGTGGCTGAATGAGCGATTATTATCAATTTCGTGCAGTCCAACTTTTTATGCAACAGATTTTTTTTCCCTTAGGTTTTATTAAACTAGCGCTATGGTATTTTCAAGTTGCAGGCAGCGCTATGGTATTTTCAAGTTGTCCATGTTTGTGGACTTGAGCGAAGAGTTAGGTCACCTTGTGAAGAGGTTTCTCCTAGGATAACAAAGTGTCTGGTATTTGATTATCTCTTTTCTCGGTTTCCAGATGGAAATATCGAACTTTCTCTTGTTTTGGGGACCTTGCTTCCTAGATGATTAAAACCTAATATATATATACATGTATATATATATCCATATGTATGAGCGCGCGTGTGGCGCAATGCTCAGAGTCGCCTTGAAGTACACATGGGATCGGTCCCGGCGCCTCAGGCTCTCAACAAATTGGTACCAGTCTTATCCGGGAGGATTGGCAGCGCCGGCTCTGTACATCAGTAGGGCATCGCAAGTCATTTTAAGGGCAAGTCGTGCATTCAATCATTTCTTACGATGCTTAATGAAGTCAGATGCATGGCCCATCCCTCAGAGATTGATCAACGCCGACAGCTCTATCCTTTATATTTATATATATATATATATATATATATATACATGCTTATATATGTATATATGGGTTTTTCAGTTGAAAACATCAATCATGGTAAATCGGGCTTAGTAGCTAGGTGGTAGATTCATTTATTGCATATATTAATAAGGGCTAGCGTTGAGATTTCACTTCCTCATATGGGGAGCTCGTAAACTGATTATTTCAGAAGTGCTTTTGTTTTAAGATTTACTTAATGTTGTAGATTGCTATTTCAGATACATTGCTAAGATGGCGTACATGGACTTAGGCTGGGATCCTGCGGTGCAAAGCATACCCTATGGCTTCGGCACGCGGCCGAGCAGACCAGTGGTCATAGTGCGTTCTGCATTCCTTTTTTCGATATGGTCTTATGACAAGGTTTTATTGGGAAAGCATGGACCTACTACAAATATTCGACTCGAGTGAACTCAATTCTGATTTAATTATAAGATAAGCATGTATATATACATATACATATATGTATATATATATATATATATATATATATATATATGTATGCATTCGTTCAGCGATGTACTGCGTCATTGTGGCGAGGTGTTCCCTCGTGTCGGACCGCGATGTACAGCGAGGAATTCATACCACTGGCAGGGTCTCCCAAGCTAAGCAGTCCGGCGTTTCCGTCACGAAGCTTAGCTAAGGATAACCCAATACCAGGATCAACCATGGGCCTGATTTCAAAGTCGCATCGTGGAAAATCTCCCTGTGATCCACAAGGGTTGCTACTCTGTGATGGTGAAAGCCTGGGGCACACTTTGACCAGGCTGACTTTGGGATTCCAGGGAACCACTATGGCTTAACTAGCAAATCTCCGAAAAATAGAGATTGTGCTGGGGCCCGCATAACCAGTAAGGACGGGCTATTCAATTATCAAGTATCGAGTATATACATACTTTTGTGCATATATATATACGTATATATACGTGTATTATAATGTAATATTATACATTATACTATATATACATATATATTACGTGAAATATAATGTAATATTATATATATATATATATATATATATATATATATACATATGTATATGTAGGGATCGTGGGAGACTAGCGCAGTGGTTATTGATGCATGTCCATGAGTCTATTTCGTTATGGTTCTCTCAGTTTGGAGGCTATCCATCCAGCGTTGAGTGTGGGGCTTCTAGAATTGTGAATTACTATGGATAGTTTTGGTCGTCGTGGTAAACTCAGACAGCCGCTCATCCTGCTGGATCCATTCTAATCCGTTGGTCACAGTGTGACGTTCTTCTTTGCCCAATCTTAAAGTTAAAATCTCCAATGACCTTGGAAAATGTGTGGTCTTCTCTGTAAAACCTCCTCAAGTCCATACAGAACGCTTCGAGTTCTTCTTTGTCATAGCTTAGTATCCGTGCGCAAACGACGAAGATTGCCAAGTCGGTGTTGACCCACGTCTCTTTAGTGGTAAATGTCCGATTCGGGTTGTTCATTGTTCGAATGAACGATGTTCATGGTGAAAATCGTGTTGACGAGAACGCGAGCTCTGCCGACTCCTCTGCTGTCGCATGTTTCGAAGAAAAGTTCTTCCCCAGTATCACAGGCGGCATTGAATGAATGGACGACGTCTTCTGGTCTCGTCCAGTTCGATGACGTCGTACCTTATCCTTCTTGTCTGCAATTTCAAGTCTTCCATCGAGAGCTCAGATGCATCTGTTCGTACATTGTAGGGAAGATCGTCACCGTTGTCCTTCGTAATTTAGGCGGTGAGATTTTACGAGCCTCAAAACTCATCGTGCTGTTAAGAATGGGACTGGCCCATGCGTTGCTCACGTGGGGTCGCAAGCGAGACATATCGTTTCGAAATCAGGCGCCAGGTTATGTGTGATAGTGAGGCATTCGTCTTTCCTGTTCGTCTTTGGATTTTTTAAAATTTATCCAAAGCGCTTCAGGAGTCTTTCCCACTGATGTTTTTATTCCTGCACTAGGACTCGGTCAACCACTTCAAAATCATCGCCATTGTGCTTTTGCACTCCATGTGTACCTAGAAAAGTTCTTTCTCGAATTTATACTTTCCTATCTAGATGTTCTTTCATGCGGACATAAAACTGTCTACCCGTTTCCTCAATGTATTCCTCACCACGTGCTTTACACGAGGTCAGGTATTAGTTTGTAATACATGAAATGTCCGATCTCACTCTTTTAATTTTCCACGTAATTTTTTAAATAAAAATTTTGTTCTTTATATATGTTTAATACACATTTTTGAACCACAAAGTCTGCTCTTTCTATATCGAGTATTGGTTTCTCTCAAGATTTATTATTTTAACATCTTACGGGCTTTAACTTTAGTATGAGTGAACGTGATATTCATGTCCTTTTTTCGCACGAGTGGAAAAGTAGGCATAATGCCGCGGCAGCAGCTCGGAATATCAACGCAGCGTTTGGAGAAGGCTCTGTTAACGAACGCACCATTGAATTCACACAAGGTTTGAATCCGGAGACGAGAGTCTTACAAGTGCACTTGTATATTTTTACTACTTGGTTATCGATACCATTTTCTAATGTAAGCCACTTTCTAAAAGCTTTATTTAGATGTTTAAGAATGGAAGCTAGTCATCGTTTGGTTCTTCTCGCGTAAATTACTAAATCACTCCGACTGTTCGTTTAGCAGTTCAAAGCACTCGTCCATCTATTCTTGTGTGGAACAGACGATGAAGCAGTCGTCGGTATATCGACAGTAGAGTAAGGGTCTGCGATCGAGAAGTGAAGCTTCTATCTTATACACGAAAGCGATGGCAAGGCTTGATGTTAACCACTGTCTTATGCCAACGCTCTAATTTGTGCAAAATATTTTCCGGACCTCCAAAAGATGAAACAACTAAGACACTGTTTTGAGAGAGTCGTTAGTTGCACATTCAACTAACCGTAAATTTTTATTTTCTTTTCATGCTCTACGAGCAAATCGAGAATGGATTGCACTGCGGAGTCATTCGAGACACATTGGTGTAAAGTGAGGTAACCTCGGATGACTACATTGCATATGTGCTGTTTGGTTGCGCACACCGTAGGTGATCGAAGAATATTTTGGTATTTGGCCGATTGGTTTGGGATGAATTTCAGTAGCTGGCTCTGGATAGGCTTACCAACCATGTTATTCTATCTATTGGCCCATCTATACAACTGATGATTGGTCTAACCTTAAATGATGCCTTGTCGGTGGACGCAAGATCATCAGTAGAAGTAAGCTTGTGCGTCTTAAGTTTGTAGGAAAGCTTTACCTTATTGACCCACTCCCTATTTAACTTTCGGTATTGATTTGTATACTCATTTTCAGAGGATGGTCGGTAGAGAGAAACATAGTTAAGATGTTTTCCTGTTATTCTAACATCCAACTAACCAGGAATAACCACAAATTCTCCACCTTTATCACTAATATTTATAGTGTACCTGAACTCATGCAATCGCTGTCTCTCTCGTTAGGACAAACCACACAGTTTTCTGAGCTGAACGAACGATCATTACGACCGAATGACTATGCGTAGTACCAAATTCCTTAGCTCAGCAGGCTACACGTGGCTATCAGAAAGATAAACACAGTAAAATCATGCACATCATAGTGGTGGTTCCGAACTAACGGACGGCGTAGGGCATTGAATGGGAGGTCAGCAATCGCCACATAATTTTCAAGAGCACTTTTTCTCAAGCACCCCTTAATGGCGTAACTTATTTCGTTTGATGTGAAGGGCACCTTGAAAGGGATCTTATTTATGTCCAAAACATTATTTTGGGAAACACCCTGACGCTTTTGTTTGACACGAATGACTTCTACTTCATACCTATTAGACAATGGCCCAGAGTGAACATGGAGCTTACGTTTTGGAGGCGACTACTAACCGCCTCTAATGTACTTCCCCATCACTTGATTGCAGGCTTTTGGCCGAATTGACTTGGACAATATAATTCTCGTAAACGAGAACACACCCACGCACGTGTGCATAAGTATGTCCCGACGCAGCAGAAATTGAGTCTACTTCTTGGGTCCACCTGCGTCTCTTCGAGGCAAAGGTCGCTTTTGATTCGTGGTTATTCCCGCCACCTAGAGGCGTGTCACTTTGCCTCGCGACTAACAGACAAGAGATCTCTCCATGCAGATCTTGTGGATACATGTACGCATGTATATATATATATATATATATATATATATATATATGTACATTTATACATACATGTATGCACACATGTATAAAATACCTTTACAAGTTTTAGCTGGAATATCACAGCTTATGAGCGGAATTTTTCTTTATCTTTGTTATAGAGTGAATCAGTGGGTGAAGCTTCAACTGCGGGCGTAGATCGGGAGGTTGTGTTATGGTTTACAGCAGCAAAGGCTGATGACATAACCACGGTTATGAATATCTTCGAGCGAAGACCGGAACTACTCAACCAGACTGATCAACACCTTGGAGTAAGTTTGATAAAGGTGTGCTATAAAGGTTGTAGTGATGACGAATTTTTCTAAGATGACTGCTTTGCATTGGGCTATTGATTCCGGTTGCGACAATGTAGTACGGTATCTGCTGGCGAAAAATGCGGACGTGAACGCAATTGATCCAGAGGGCAACACTCCACTCCATTTTGGTAAGCGTCACATCTTAAACAAAATATGTCTATGATTTTGTTGTTGTTTACTACTAAATAACAGTGGATACAGCGAAATTTGAGCTCCACTTTGTTTTTCTGTACAATTCTGTGAACATCTCACGAGAGTAACAGCCCATTTGAATGTCAATTCCGCAATACGATTACCATTATGGTGCTTCGTTTGTGCTTAGTAAGGTGTCCACCATGAAAGTTTGGATTATGAATTTTCCACAAACATTACCTGGATATTTCTTTCTACTTCTGTTCAGCAAACACGAGGTGCTATTTTATTTATTTACGTACCAGCTGACGTTTCGGCGGATTTCGCCTTCCTCAGAGTCTGGAAAGGTCAAGTTGACAGCATGATTTGGTGAATTTTCTGTAGTACTGATGAAGATCTATTATATAAATGAACGCCACTTTCACGACCGACTTTCTATTAACCTCGGCATTGATGAAGTAATTCTTCCTATTCTTGTTGAGCAAACGCGAGGTGTTACTTTTATTCTTTATTCACGAATAAGTTGACGTTTCTGCTGATTTCGACTTCCTCAGAGCCTGGAAAGGTCAAGTTGACAGAAATCTCTTTGGCCAAACGCTTCCATAACCAAACAGAGAAAACGCTAAAACAAGATTTCAATCACATTTAGCGCAGCTCCGCACACTCACCGCTTTCTTGGTGCAATGGCGAAATCCGCCGAAACGTCAGCTTGTACGTAAATAAAGAAATAAAATGGCACCTCGTATTTGCTGAATAGAAGTAGAAAGAATTGTTCAACCAATGCCGAAGTTAATAGAAAGTCGGACGTGGGAGATATTACTTGGATATTTTGGATACTTCGTATTCTTTTAACCATGGGTAGTGCGGACCAGTACATTTTCCATTGGTTTCTTTGAATAGCTTTTGTTGTCCGTACTGATGGCCTGCTTCAAAATTGGTGGTGTCCGAGGCACATTCGTGATCCTTTAATCGTTTCTTAAACCAGCAAGAAATCAAGCAAGAAAAGCCAAGAAAAGAAAGAGAAAATCGTGTACGTGATCGTCCCATGGAGTGCTTGCATCCTCTTGGAGTCCTTTCTACAGTTATTTTCATCGATCTATCGTCTGTTCTTCTTATTGTACAATTTCGGAAATGGTAGGGATTTGAGGATTTGAATTACGCATTCCAGCCAAACGTTGTGTAAGCTAGCCGGCTATATCTCGGAGGACATCGTTCAATTGCTCCGTGGACGACACGCAGAGTTTTTCACGTGTACGAACTATCAGGCCACGCCTCTGCTGCAAAAACACAACGCAAGGAGGGCCGTCGAATTGAGAAGATGGGCGCGGAGTTTTGGGTCCGTTAGTTGGCTGGTGACTTCTATTATAGTCACAAATGCGGCCCCTGCCTTTTTCTTCTAGATAATTTCTACTTCGTATTGTTCGTCAAGTTCATTGCCCGCTCAATGTATTTGTATGAGGTGAAATCAAAGAACTGTCCACTTCTATTTGTTCACTTGACCACTATGGTTTTTTTTTTAATGAACTAGATGTCCTTCCTATTTATGCGCATTCCAATTCTTTTTCCCGCTTCGTTGAGTTCACTGGTCATTTTCACCACTTTCCTGATGCTTGTTGAAAATACGGCGATATCTTCAAGAAAATAGGAAATTTGATAGGGAATTGCTATGAATACGTATGCCTTTCTTGTCCTAAATGACTCACTTCATGATCCGCTGCAATGCGGCAATAAATAGTTCGGTGATATGTTGTCGCTCTGCCGAACCCCTTTTCCTATGAAAATCCTGAGAGATCGATGGAGAAGCTGTATTTTTATGCGTTTCGATAGCAGTCGGCTAGAGTTCTCATATAAAAGGAATCCACTTCTTGATTGATGAAGGCTGATAGGATTGCATTCGTTTCTACGCAGTCCCCGGAAAAGCAGTACACAAGGCAGCTGGTACTCGCAACAGATTCTATCACACGAGATACGGTTTTGACATTGTCCATGCAGAAGAATCAGAAGGAATCCTGTTTGATCAAATGGTTGTCTCTCATCCGGTGACTTTGATATTGCGCGGTAGGACAATAGATGCGAAGAGCTTATAGAGCATGTTTAACAAACATGTCGATCAAGAGATCCCTTCGCTCACTTTCCAATGGTAGGATGACCATGCGCGTCGTGCTTCACTGGTCCACGATTTTTTCCTGAAGGTAAGATGCCATATATATTTCGAGAAGTTCATGTGATCTATGACCTCCTGCTCTGAGAAAATCGGTGACTGGATGTTATTGAATCCTGGAGCTATGCCTCCTTTCATGCTTTTTATCGTAATAAAGGACTTCAGAAAGCAGTATTCGGGTGGGGGTTCTTCGGTGGAGATATTAGGTTTCGGAAAGAGGACGCTGGGACAGGAGGGTTTTTTGTACAACTTTTGTTTCGTGAATTCTGTGCCATGGTGGTAGTTGGAAGTTAGCCAGTCTTCTTTTATTAGGATAGATGACATAGTGCTCTCGCAGTTCCCACCGTCTTTTCTTTAGAATAGATCATTTTTGTTGCGCTTCCAAAAGCTTCTTTTGCTTTTGCCGATGTAAATTTTCCTGTAAATATTTTCCATAGCTCATTTATTATCAGCCCTATGTCAAGTGTGTTGCAGTAGGTACCTTCATACTCTCGCCAAGAGTCTCATAGTTTTCGATCAACTCTTCCTTAACCCGCCGGATATGTCTAGATAAGACTTCGTTCAGAATGTTTCCGTCGTATACACCTTGACTTTTTATTCCTGCTCGATGACAAGAACTCTTTTCAAGGTTATGGCTGAATCGAATCCTTTCACGAAGAAGGTGATCCACTGCAGAATGATGGGATTATGAATGTGTCAAACAGGCTCCGTTCACATTTCATTTTCCTGTTCAGAAATTTCCGTTTTTTTTAAACCACTTATTGGCCTTTCCTGTTCTGGCGTTTAGGTTTCCAGCAACAAATTCATGAAAGAAAAGACTGATGGTTGCGGACTAATTCCTTCAACTTATAATGGAACGCATCTGATTCCTATTCATCACTTGGTCATTGGGTAGGAATTGATAATAACGATCTTATGAAGTGTGAGATAAATACCAAGGATGGTCGAACGAGAGGAAAGGATCTGGTACGAGTCGCGGTGATAAGTAATAGACGGGTAGGCGACAAGGCCTTAGCCACCGACATTTAGTGACGGGACATTTTCTCCACGGATGACGAGCATTTCGTTAGCATATATCGATTTCTTCATTTTTCTCCCATAGGACATGCACATGGAACTGTTCTGGCATTGCAGGTGTAGATTGAAAAATACTCTCCTTTGGATTGTCCTGGACATGTTCGTTTGATCGAGTTTTAGTGACGTCATTTGCAACCCGAGATTTGATCGTTTTCACCGGTCATAGCATCGCCTGACATCACAATCGGGAGCACTCAATTATGGGGTAATGAGATTAGTCTACTGCTAGTTGTGTAATTTGTTTTTCTTTAGGCACTGCGCCAACACTTATGTGCAAAGTGGTCCAGGTGCACACTCGAAAATTTGCATTTTGTCCGATATAATCTGTTCGAATTTGTTGGAATACCTTATTAGGTCCAATTTTTTGTGTTTCCTGCATAGTTGGAAGCACTTTAAATTTTCTCCTTATCTGATCATTTAACTGAACACTAATTTTCCATCCATCCTTCCAACGGTTTACCTCCTCATCGTGGCTGGGAGTTCTTTCTGGGTGTCGGACTGGGACGTACAGCGGACGGTTCATCCATCCAGCAGAACCTCTCAAGTTGAGGAGTCTGATGTTTTCCGTCCGGAAGCAGCTAAGAGCAAACTAATACCAAGAAACACTACCGTCCTGCTATCAACCTTGTCACATAGTGGCAAATCTCTCTCTGATCCACAAGGCCGGCAACTAGCTGGGGTGGGGACGACCTGAAGAAGACTTTGGCTAGCATGACATCAGGACTCCAGAGAACCACAGTGGCTAAGCCATATCCAGAGTGGAAATTATGCTGAGGTCCACACAACCAACGGACGCGGGTCATTCAAATGTTCAGGTTTCTAAGTAATTTTCCATAGTTTATTAGACGAGATTTGATTTGGATGAGATATGTGATAATCGATAGTAAATATGAAAGCTTTTGATCGACTCAAATATGTGGTTTTCATAGGCCATTTTGAAATTATTTTCGTTTGGAGCATTTTGTAAAATATTGTAAAAGATTGCAAAAGAGTAGAACTTTTTTGCAGTTGATTGAGACTGATTGTATTTCAGCCGCCTGCTGTCATCGCCAAACAGCGGCAGAGATTTTGATTTCTAAAGGAGCGGACAAGACACTGCGAAACTGCGACGGTCAAACCCCATCTGAAGTATGTGATGATCCGACCCTACAAGCAATACTAATACCATCATAGATGTATATAGTGTGGCGGCATTAGCCATAGGCACCTTCATATTGCTGTTCGGTAATTTTGAGCTATATTCAAGATAATTTGAACTATTGTGAGCAGTATCAGGAAGGAGTTGTGTTTGAAACTGTCCGATAAGTTGACACATGCCTGTCTTACACTGTGTTCACATCGGTTTTCTAAAATCACTCATTGGTAGAGTATATATATATACATATGTATATATAAAAATATGTATATATATATATAAACTTATTCACAGCGGTTATGCAGTTTTATAGTTGACTTTGATTGCTTCCTTATGTATGATATAATATGGTAAGTAGAAGTTTGTATTCGTCTTATGCTCTTCATTTTATCTACATTGTTTAATTGTTTAAAATTTTCGTTACCCTTTCATTTAGAAGAGTTGAAATTAAGGGATACCCCTTATTCATATTCGGCTTATGTACCATTAGTTCCGCCAGACACAGCGTTCTGTGTAAAGACATTAATTGTTTATTTCCTTTCAATTGTAACCCAAAAGTAAGGTGACAGTCTTATATTGGAAACCCCTGGACATTTTGTAATGCTTTCGGGGTTTCGATGAGCCATCAAATGAATAATTCCAAAGAAACCTATGGTGCTAATTTTCTCTTAAAGCAATCTGACCTGTCCCATAATTAACATTTCATCGAATTAAAATTTTTTCCAGCGGATTTTTCTATCTCATTGTGTCATTCCATTGAATTGATCTGCATTTCACTGAACACCTAAACACTTGTGTGCCGGTGTTCACATACTGTACAAATCTCCGCATTTCTTCCATTGCTTTTGCCCTCCGAAATAGTATACAGAAGTGGTTGGTTTGTAGTATGAGTTTGGATCTATTCACTTAACTCTTCGTTAGCATCTTGAGCGTTGGTTTAGTGTGATTTTCCGTGGGAACCTGAGTTAGCCATAGTGGGGCATTCTTTCTAATGAACACACTGCATATGATTTTAGAGCTTATCTGCTAGGTGGTGCGCTAGATACACAGCATTTTGAGATTTTGCCCCCGTCCCTTTCAATGTGGGGTATGCCGTGCTAGTGTTCTTATAATAGTTCCCAGGATCGACTTTCTCTTAACCTCGGCATTGGAATATGAATGTGTCGTTTTCTTGTTCAGCAATCGCGAGGTTTTTAAACAGCATACATTTACTTCCATAGAAAAACACAATACAATACAACACTAGCTGACGTTTCGGCAGTATCGCCTTCTTCAGAGCCTGGAAGGGCATACTGATATACAATCTACTAGGCCAAACGCTTCAATAACACTTACAAAAAGACGAAAAACTCCTTGGTAATTACATGATCAACAGCTTCTCGAAAAAACCCACCGCTTTTTCGTAACTTCCAATGAGAAAGTTTAGAGCAGCTGATTATAGTCGCATGTGGTTGACGACTTCACCATCTCACATCAAAAATCAATGCGAACATACGGGATCAGGTCGCGTATGACCTCCGAGCATTCATCTCTGCTATTCATTGTAGGGTTTTTGGCATTGATCCAAAAAGCCTCTAGGAGTTTTCGCGCTGGTGTTTTGGACTCCTGTGCAAGGATAGTGTTCTTATAATTATTCCTCATGCATGTTCATTAACTTTGTTCTCTTCCGTCGTATTCTTCGTTAACACTTTCGTAACCAATCGAATTTTCCGACAAGTTTTCCAAGGAATTATGGAATTAACAAATGTTTAGAAGATGTTCTACCCTATCGTTGGTGCGGCACACACTTTTTCTCGCAGTGGATTTTTTATTTTATTTTTTCGTGGCCTATTTGTTTGAAAATCCGGATATTTAAAGTTTCTATTGCAAACATGGCTGCCATCAATGTCAACGGTGCGTTCGGGGACGTCATGTTGACTTCCTGAACAAAATCGAGCTTGTTTAGGCACGTTGCTGCTCGATGAGCAAGCCTAGACGATAGGAAGCCAGAGCAAAAACGATTTTTGAGCCCTAAGATCTAGAATCCAGAGAAATTAAACCAGTTTCAAGAGTCACTGTCATACTTGCAAGCTCGGCTCGGCTTCTGACCAAGGCGACCTTGAGAAAGTCTTAGTACTTATTATGATGATTCGTCAGCCTGCCTGTTCAACTATTCAAATAGCTAGGAAAATCAAGATATCATCGTGATAAAGTAAGAGGATACGTGTCTGCTGAATGGAACCTGCAAACCCTATTGGTTTACATTTTTTCGGTAAGTGTAGCGTAGTGGTTAGAGCTGCCCTAAAATATATACGTGGTCCCTGGTTCATTTCCGCGTTCCAGGGTCACCCAGCCTTCCCACTCTTCAGAGTCAGGAAATTGGTACCAGACTTGTCTGGGAAGATAGCGGCAATGATTTATTACATCGCTAGGCCACCGCAAGTTATGGTATGGGCTTGCTATGGGCCCACTCACCTCTAGCGATGCTTCTTGATAAAGGCGAATGCATGGCGCTTCCTCAGGAACTAATCAACGGCGAGATCTTCATCCTTTTATCTGTTATGTTTGTTTATGATCTACCGTTTATTTTGTTGTTGCTGTATATTTCTTTTATTATCTAAATTATTTCGAAATGGTTGTTTAAAGTGAAGAAGCGAAGTTAAATGCCATCCATTCGTCAGAATATGTTAACACAACGCCATAGCCGCTTTATGCTGAAGTGTATACACAGCTTTTTTTTACTGCACTTTTTGTACCTAGTCATAGCTTGTCCAGCACGAATGTTGTGTCAGGCGTGGCTCGTGAGAAAATGTTCTCTTAAGACATATCGCCTCATGTGATGATGCTCACTAGACCTCCAGTCACTGCTTTCTCAAGTATCTAAAGGATTTTTTATGAAGTCTCCAACAACGATGTCATTGTTCAAAGTGTCTTTAGAATATCTGCGAACTCCAGAAAGCAGGAATTTTACCACGACTGAATGAACTTAGGCGCTTAGATATCCCATCTCCATCAACGATGGGGTTTCGGTACACTTTCCATTTTACTAGCATTATTGCTCCCTCATTATGCTTTTTGTTCTTGGGGTTCGAGAATAGTTTTGTGTTTTTGTTTCTGCGTTCTCATCACACCTTTAACTGCTGGGATTAGGTGAGTCTGGTGGCGAACATCTACCCGCTTAGCAGCACCTCTTGGCACTCGCAGACACACTGTTCCAAGTGAGGCACTTCACAACCAGTGAGACATACACTGACAACTTATAATGGATACAAAGAGAGTTAAAAGTAAAGGGTTAGCGAATACAACCACAATGATGCTGAGATATTTGCAAAACTCCGGCCAGCAGGTGTCTGCGGTGGGGATCAAACACGCTATTACCCTTTCCCGGGCCAATGCGTTCAGCACTACGCCATACTGGTCCTTCGTTTCGCCTCTCTCTCAGCAAGTTTTCTATCCACCAGTGCCATCAGCAATCGCTTGTCAACGGAGTTGATCCGTGAAGCCCAATTTGGCATTGAACCCAGTTAAGCTGAGACTAGTCGAAATCACAATGTTGCTGAAGCGTCCGTATAGTGTAGTGGTGAGCGCGTTAGACCTAGGAAAGGGTAATAGAGTGTTCGATTTCCATAGCAAACACCCACGATCCGGAGTTTTGCAAATACGTTATCATCATTGTGGTAAGATTTCACATAATGCCCTGCCGTAAGAAATTGTAGTAGGAAGCAAATAAAAGCTTAACACTGTTAGCGAATAATTTAATGGTTTCTATTTTAAAAATTAATCTCATAGGATTGCACGAAAATGTAATCTGACTGTGGGATAAGAGTACACTTTAATTCACCAATTACTCCGTAGTGCAGTGGTAATGGTGTCGTCTAATACACTGGAGGCTTTAGGCTTACCTGCCTAAGGCAACCAAACTTTTTGTCCTCTCGAAGTCGGAGATTCAGTAGCAGACCCGCCTGGTAAACTCGCTGCAGTCGATAAGGACCCACAGGCGAATCTGGAGTGCTTTATGAATGATGGATGCGAGCAAAGGAATCGAATGCGAGAAATGTGGGGATTCGCACAATAAAAGTAAAGGCGGTCATATTAAAAAAGAAATTTCACTGATTATAAGGCACGAAACTTTGCATAGATTATCAAAGAATGGCTTCGCCACTTACTTCAACTCGTTGAGTAATTGGACGTTGCCAATGAAAAATTAAGGTATTTATTTTTAAGTTGCTGATTGCTCGATTGACAATGTGAAGCGAATGTCTTCAGCCAAGCAATGGAGGTGTACTTCTTTTGGATTCGTTGGAAAAGCAGTGTGAAAAGGAAAGAGTGGAATATTTCTTCAAAAGAGATCTAGTTTGTGTAAGAAGAGAGCAATTGCAGTGGTTATCTAAGTGTCTGTGATCGATTTTTATTTTGAGGAAGATCTGGTATCTTGGGTCCCATTTACCAAACCAAATCATCCCGTGGTGGCATAAATTTATGCGTTCCTCTAGAGCCCCATCTCTGAGCGCACGTGTTTTATAATCTTCCGCTAATGTTCTGCACTTGATGTTCTGCAAGGATAATCCATGCTGACAACTGAAGCACAAACTGGGTCGTTGACGATTGTCTAATCACATAGAAGCGTTTTACTTCACTTCAGCGTCAATCGTTTCACTATCACATGAAGTGCTTTGCTATTCAGTAGAACGAAATTTCATCAACATTTTCCAGATGTTTTGCTTTGTTCAGAACTTTTCTTTAGATTTCCGGTTGCTGTTCATACCGATTCTTCATTATTGTATATCATCTTCTTCCTCATCATTTCTAAAATGCATCAAAGGGGTATCCTGCGGGCGGGTTTCATTACCGAGCTTATAGATAGTGTGTGGTATGAAGCTACAAGCTTCTTTCCTTTCAAGTAGTCCTTAAGTGATTCCGAAGGTGTAATACGCATTTCTTGATTGGTTCCATTTCGAGCGATCATAAGTGCATTTTTCCTTCTTCTTTCTCGGTTCCCCACCTCTCAGTTTATAGAGTTTTTTTCACAGAGGAAACATTGGTTGACGGCTTTACCTAACAGAAGCATCATGTAACAGACAACCAAGTTTCTTTTTCTACAGGTGTACTCAAGTTGTGTAAGTTTGCTACCGTCCACCACAAGAGCGATCTGTAGAAACAAATTTGTAGAAGAGGATTTTTAAAGATCCATCTTCTTTTGTGGCATTTACCCCAGAATATTCATTTAAGGTTTAAATTCCGAGTCATCTTTGGCCTGTATGAATCATATAGGCTTATGTGGTCATAACTGTGTTAAAGCAGCCAGAGAGTTAAGTTCGAAAAGGATGCTATAACTAGCTTCAACAGCTTGCTTCTCCATAGCTGTTGCATCGCTGCAGTTGTCCAATACATGTTTGCCATAATACTCGATAAAGGCATGAGGTGGTTCCAATTCTCTAACGGTTTATTCACATCCTCGCCTGCATTCCTGCTAATGTTTTCGTTAAAGAGTTGTTCTATTGGAAGTGAAATGCATGCGCGTATGTTCAGAATTGAGTTTCATAAGCTCACTTTACATCATCTCAATAAGTGCGACTTGGATTGTAGTACTCTGTCATGAAAACAAAGCGTGGTAGGGTACTGCCACTGATTCTACTTTCTTGGGAAGTTCAATTTGTAGTTTTGAGAATACGACATGTATGTTCTTGTCTTCTATCATATTGATTGGGGTGATCACCAGTTTTCAGGATCAATAATGAGAAGTTAACGAGAGTCTGACACACGTTAGTTATTGACTACTGGTGCTGATCAGATGTACAAACGACAAGTTGCACTATCCATTTGTCTTTCCCCTAAAATGAATAGGTGGCAAAGTTTAAGTCTTGTGAGGTCTGTTGAGCTTTGCGGGGACTCAAAAAGGAAAAATTGGATAAGGGTCGACTAAAAAATAACTCCGGAAGGTTCTTGACAATTGACGATATTCTTTCGATCACTAGAACATGTTAGGAGCTCAGAACTTGGTAGGCCTGTAGAACCGGAAGATAACGTGAACCACTCGTATACTTTTCATCAAATTGCCATAACCTGACTTAAACTGTCTATTAGCCTCGGCATTGATCGAGCAATTTTTTATATTCTTGCTTACCAAACACGAAGTGTTATTTCATTTCCTTATTTGCACGCAAGGTGACGTCTCGGCGGACTTCGCCTTCTTCGGAGCCTGGTAAGGTCAAGTTGACTGCAATCTACCCGGCCAAACACCTCGATAACCGAACAGAGAAAATGCTAAACGAAGATTTCAGTCACATTTAACGCAGAATAGCTTAAGAATAAGAATAGTGGTTAGAATAACAAGCTATTCTTTGTTCAGTGTGATTGAAGTCTTGGTTTAGCGTTTTCTTTGTTTGGTTATGGAAGTGTTTGGCCGTGTAGATTGCAGTCAACTTGACCTTCCCAGCCTCCGAAGAAGGCGAAATCCGCCGAAACGTCAGTTTGTTCTTGAATAAAGAATAGAAATAACACCTCGCCTTTGATCAAAAAGAATATAAAGGACTTTTCATCAGATGTTGCTCTAAGTTCAAAAATATTTAGAACTAGAGTTTTGAAAATTTTGGAAGTGAGATGTGGATTCTTGAAAAATTCAGCAGACACCTATCATCTATAAATATGAGCGACACAACGATGATGAGATATTTGCAAGACTCCGGACTGCAGGTGTATGCCGTGGGGAACGAACGCGTTATTACCTCTTCCGGGGTCGACGCGTTGACCCACCACACTATACGAGTCCTTCGTTTCGTCTGTCTCTCAGCGAGTTTTCTATCTAACAGTGCCATCAGCTGTTACCCGTCAGCGGGATTGATCTTGGGAGCCCACATCGGCATTGAACCCAGTCAAGCTGAGAGACAAACGAAACGAAAGACCCGGAAGGTGCGGCGGTAATTGCGTTAGCCCCGGAAAAGGTAATAGCGCGTTCGTTCCTCACTATAGACATCTGCGGTCCCGAGTTTTGCAAATATCTCAGCATCAGTGTGGTTGTATTACGCATAATACCCTGCCGTGAAAAATTGTAGTAAGCAGCAAACAAAAAGTAAAAATGGACGATACAATTGGAAATACCAATGTCTCGCCAAGCGAAATTCCTTTGTTTAATTGCCTTCTTCATCGAAATACAGGTCTTGACGCAAAAAGGTGAAGGAAAGCGTTCTGCTAGGCTGAAAAAAGCTCTTCGACTCATATGAGTGAAAAGACTAATAGATCCCAAGACCGACTTTCTGTTTACCTCGGTATTGATCATGTAATTCTTCGTATTCTTGTTGAGCAAACGCGAGGTGTTATTTTATTCTTTATTCACGAACAAGCTGACGTTTTGGTGGATTTCGCCTTCCTCAGAGCCACTTTCTATGTATTCTGTGTGGTTGGTCTCCACGCGACATACTCAATGGAAGGCTCATAGAAAGCGGCACTGAGGAAGGCGAAATCCGCAGCTTATTCGTGAATAAAGAATAAAATAACACCTCGCGTTTGCTCAACAAGAATACGAAGAAAGCCTAATAGAGTTCAATTTGTGCAAGGATAAAATGGTGTAAATTTAGAATCGATCATTACTTTTGCACCAAATGCATTGTGCTCAAGGCGTATCCAACGTTGTTCCGACAATGCTTGTATATATGTGACGTCGATCACAGCCTCACAGAGAACTGCGAGTGTATAACCACATACTGAACTTCATTCAGAAATAATGTCATGCAAATACATATGATAGCATGAAGAGAGTGACCACAGTTTGTGCCGATACGGTAAACGCTGGATTCGAGTCATTTGCGTGATCTTCAGTTGTATTAAATAGCGTGTTTTTTGAGGTTAGCTGAAATAACACAGTGATTTCATGGATGGATAACCAGAGAAAAAAGATGTGAAAGAGATGGTGAACTTACATAAAAAATACTTCCAGCTGATGGGATACCAAGCTGTTTGCTAAACGTCGTTGTCCCGATGAGACATTCAACGTTATTGCAGTCACCCATCAAATCCAAACCTTTGAATAACGTTGTAGTAAGCATGGCACAACTTTTATCTCCTAGATTCATCTTTCATATTTCCTTGAAAGTGTGTTGGGTGAACATCTGTAGGACCAAGTGCACGGAGATTTCTCCTGTACACAATGCTGATTTTGGCGCAAAAGTAGCGGCGAGAAATTTCTTGACCCACACGAACACATTGAATAAATTTCGCATGTTTAAGTGAATTCTAAGCCAGAACTAGAAAGAATGGAAGCAGGGAGTGATTCTCCTCAATGATTTCGTTCCAGCCGTTTATATAGCGATGCACATAAGTTTCGTTAAAACGTCCACTTCATGCTTTTATTTGTTGATGAAGAACAAACGTGGAGGTTTTCGTTATGGAGGACGGAAAAGAGCTCGGGTTTGCTTCACATCACTGAAAATCATCGCCGATGAATGATTGTGTACGGATATTTCATCGTCCTCAAAATGATCCTCGTTTCCGATGAAATTAAGGGACACGGCAAGAAAATGAAAAGAGGACTGGATGCCTCTGGATCTTTGAAAAATCGGTTTGAATTTAAAAGAAAATAAACGAATTATAGAGGCAGTAAGTGACGTACCAGTGGAATCTTCAGAATTTCTGATGTTTTGACGATTACCAATAGTGACCGGAGTGTCGGTGTGATATGCCAGGACAACATATTGTGAGCGATCTTTAATTAGTGTAAGTAAAGTAAATGTTAAGACGACTTTTTTAAAGTGTCTTTCACATTGAAATCCCAAAACTGGCTCAATCTAGCATTTTAAACGATTCTACTTAATCAGTATTGCAGCATAGTGAGGTGGTCAGTCGACTCTATGCACGTTGTCAGTGAAATGAGCTCGGTTCCAGGTCAGACACCCATCCAATTCCTCTATTGCGTTTAGGTTGATGGCTGACTATAAAGGAAAGAAGACCATCCCTACTCTGCCATGTGGCGGAAACTGTGCTGCAGTGTAGTGATAATTACCAACTTAAATGACACTGTTTCCTCGCGGCGTGAGCCTAGCATTTGTCCCATTGGATTCCATTGTCATTGTCTTACATCCGTCGTCTATGGAGATGCCTGAGCTTGTATATGATATTGGGTGCAACTCTCAGGACACTTATCTTTCACTAACATAGTGAAATGATGTCCAAGCCGAGATTTTCGCGAGAAACCCGTGATAGCTGGGTTAGGAAGTCCTTAACTCGTCACCACGAATAGACCCTGCGCTTTTGTGGAATAAAGAAGAAATCTGCTGCTTTGCAAAAATGACAGCGATTTCTATATAACAAATCCTACGAATTGCGACGACCTAAATCACCTTGGCGAGGTCCAAGTGTGGGAATAAAGCTTCGCTTAGAGATGGAGGTCATGCAGTCCCAGGTGATAAACACCTTATGTTTTTATAAAGAGGGCAGTCCATTAGGAAGACGGGTGATTATCAAAGATGGTAATAATAATGGAAACCCTAACACATTCACAGATACTTACATGACTTTTGCTTCGCGGCAGTTTTGTTGTCAATGTACGTAGCGCGACCCGTCATACCTTGAAGGACAGTCGGAACTGGCAGTCGAAGAACGCCCGTGGATGGCAGGTTATAGGTGAAGAATATCGCAAACGGTTTATTCAAAGGATCTGAAATATTATTAAGTACATCCTGAAAAAATAACTGTTCATTAGTTTACCTGATTAGTTTGATTTCTTGAAAAATCTCTCCGAAAACGATACTGTAACTATTATCCTCTGTCCCTAGTTAAATTGATGTTCACTATCATATCGGTTCACAATGAATACTTTCTTCCGTTCATGGTTTACAAGAAAGTTACCAACAGTCAGGAAACCTACCTATTATAGTCATGACGTGAAGGAATCCCCCTACAGGTGGGGGTGTAGTGAAAAACACGCTTTGCACAATTGCTGTTCTGTATTGAGGATATGCTAGAACAACTACCTGAAAGCTGTGATTTTCGACAGATCAGAGCAGAATCAAAGAAACACAAGAACTAATTCTTCCAATAAATCCCGATGACTCAACAAATTGCAAGGCAGAGGGCCTTGACAGAACGTTGCGCTTGTAAGGATAAAAATACAATACAAGAAAAGCGCTGAAGTTTTCATTGGCAGGATTTGCCGTAGTTTGATAACTCAAGTTCCGATCGTCACTCTGCCTTTGTACGTAAATGATTGCACCTCGTCTCCAGTATGAACGGGAGGAAACGCTGTTCTGTCATCAGGTGGAGCCATCTCGATCTGAACAGCAACATGTTGAACGACAATATAAGAAAGACAGATTTCTTTCAATTGTTACGTTCATCGACACATACCAGTAGACTGCCGTCTTGTCACAGTGATAAGAATGTTTTGTAGTTGAGATATTGTTCCATATTGCTGCATAATGATAATAATCCAATAATAATCAATAATTCATTGGACACTTTTTATATTACCGAAGACAGAACGAGGGGTGATTGCTGATGCCACCGAAAGAGTAAAGCACTGGCCGAGAGGAAGGTAAAGCAAGGGCTTCTTTTGATTTGGTGGATAGCAAATGATCACCTTTAAAGGTAATTGCGGGTTTGAAGCCCATCTGAGATTTCTAGTTATGTTGATATCTCAGCATCGTTTTCATTGTAGTTCACATTATGCTCTCTGCTATGAGAGAAGAATAGGCAGTAAATAAAAGTTAAGATCTTACTGTACAGAGTTTATAACTCTGGTGCAGCTTCTAAAAGTCCGGTCTACGCTGAATTCATCCGAGGTGAGCACTGAACTCAGTGCATCTGGTCCGTTACACCGCTATAACGACAAACCCTGTTCTTTGAGTAACTGCCACGGTTACCTACCTCAGGGAGGAATGCCTTGTTATCACGCGTGATATTGGACAGTGTATAAGCCTGTTGTTCTGATGGGAGGGGCACATTATGCCTCCATGTGATTTCTGTGCGGTTGGTCTCTATGTGACATACTTAGTGGAAACCTCATAGGAAGCGGTGAGTTTGCAAAGCTGTGTTCAAAGTGATTGAAATCTTGGTTTAGAGTTTCTTTGTTTGGTTATGGAGGCGTCTGGCCGAGTGAGTTGCTATCAGCTTGACCTTTCCAGGCTCTGAAGAAGGCGAAATCCGCCGAAACGTCAGCTTATTCGTGAATAAAGAATGATAACACCTCGCGTTTGCTCAACAAAAATACGAAGAAAATTACCTGTTCTTTAAGTTTGTCACTGCTTAATTTGATTCTTCCACGCATTTGCCCCATTTCCTGTCGTTATTTATGTTTTACATGTTCTCTATGTTTCTTTTTATGTTTTTGAAATATGTCTGACTGATATGACGAAAAAGCTCATCACAGCTTCAACCACGGTGCGGTCAACCTTTGGTGCAAGGTTGCAAAACATGTATAGAATATATTTCAGCGTATTAATAATAATAATAACCGTAGCAATAATGCTCTCGGCGTTGATCAATTCCTAGGGGATATGCCATGCATTCGACTTCATTAAGCATCGTTTGGAGGTGATTGAATGCATATCTGGCCTTTATAATGACTCACGGTGCCCCACCGATGTATCGAGCCAGTGCTGCTATCCTCCCAGACAAATCTGGCACCAATTTGCCGACCTCGGAGGGATGGAACGCTTGGTGGGTCAGCGGTGCAGGAATCGATCCCATGTGTATTGCAGAGCGTCTCCGTGCTCTGCGCCACACGCACCCCTATTTCGGCGTTCTATAACATTTTATAACAATTTCTGAATCTGAGTTCGAGAAACTAGTGAACTTGTGTGGAAGTACATTGTACATGTACATTGTATGAGCACGCACTCTGTGCCATGTCGGGATGTCTCACCGTCCTCCTCGATAGGAACACTGTCACCGGCTAACCAAAAAACTATGCAGCGATGAACAGAAAGTAAACAGTAAGAAATAAATCATATTAAGATCAATGAATACGACTCAAACAGCATTTTTGTGAAGCATCTAGTAAAAAGTAAAATTGTAAGATTGTAAAAGTAGAACAGTGAGATATTGATAAAGGATAAAGCTCTCGGCGTTGATCAATCCCTGAGAGATGCGTCATGCATTCGACTTCATTAGGCATCGTTAGAGCTGAATGAATGTGAATATACCGATGGCCTACCGATGTATCGAGCCAGTGCTGTTATCCTCCTAGACAAGTTTGGTACCAGTTTACGACCCCGGAGGGATGGAAAGCTTGGTGGACTATGGGCACGGAGATCGATTCCATCTACGTGTGTGTTGCAGGGCGTCCCGACCACTGCGCCACACTCGCCCTTCTGAGATATTGATACATCCCTTGATATCGAGGCCTGCCGTTTGAAAAGTTGTAAGTCCGTTAAGTCAGAATTTCACGCCAAAGTGGTTATCCGAGTCCATATATTTTGCCGCAAACTAATTTGTTTTCCAAACCTCAAAGAATTCTTGTACAAAAATTCAACGTTCAAGTTCTTGAGCGACTGTTACCACTTTGGTGATTACTAAGGTGACAACCAACAAGAAGGCCGAGTAAAATTAGATTTCGTATTGATCGCATATTCATAAATTAGCACAAGGAGCAGGTGACTAAGAAACTGTGTTAGTAAGATGTTTCAGAAGTTCGTATCTCTGTTGGACGTTCTCGGAAAGCAAGCCAAAACAAAACTCATCTCATTAATTTCAAGCCAGAGCCAACATACCCGCAGAGTTCTCTGCACTTTTGTCAGATGGTATTAAAATATTGCACTAAACACCGATTTATACAAGCTTTAAGGCAGCTTAAAATAGTGGATTATTTGGAATTAGGCAAATCACTCACATAACTGAACATTGTTTTCGGCGCTTTGGGAAAAACTTTCGGTGAGAGCTGTTTTTCAATAAACCCTGAAATCAAAGATCATAGGCAAGTGTTGTAGATCTTCTGGTCTCCATGGAAGAGTGCGGACATGCCAAGCCAGGAACTGCTTCAAAACATCGACCATGTTCGAGTCACCTTTGAAGTCCATAAAACTCACAGTCTTCGATGGTCATTGACGAAGTCTCGCAACACAGATAAATGGTATGATTTTGGCTTTCAGTGTCGTTGCTTTTTCTGAACAAATATCTGTAGCTGATTCCCAAGAACGACTTTTGTAAACCGCGGCATTGGAACATGAATGCGTCGTTTCGTTGTTCAGCAGTCGCGAGGTTGTTATGCAACATACATTTACTTCCATGGAAAAACAATACAATACAACGCTAGCTGACGTTTCGACAGCATCGCCTTCTTTAGAGTCTGGAAGGGTATACTGATATACAATTTACTAGCCCAAACGCACAGTCATCAACCATGTGCGACTATAACCAGCTGTTCTAATCTTCCTCATTGGAAGTCACGAAAAAAGCGGTGGGTTTTTCGAGAAGCCGTTGACCATGTGACTACCATTTAGATTCTCATCTTTCTGCATGTGTTATTGAAGCGCTTGGCCTAGTAGATTGTACATCAGCATACCCTTCCAGGCTCTGAAGAAGGCGATACTGCCGAAACGTCAGCTGCTGTTGTTTTGGATTGTGTTTTTCTATGGAAGTAAATGTATGCTGTTTAACAACCTCGTGATTGCTGAACAAGAAAACGACGTAGTTGTAGCAGAGTTGTTTTGAAATTCAAGAAGTGACTTGCTGTTTTGTCCTAGAGAAACGAACGTATTATTTTCTATTATGTTTCCGTCCAAGAGGAAAAGCTGTGGTGGAAATCGAACTGGTCATAGTAGTAACTTTCTGAAGGCTCTTAATATTCAAGCCATCACCTGCAAGTGAATCCACTGGGACACTGTGATCTGTGGTTTGGATCACATGCTTCCAGATCAAACAGCAACGAATTTTTGGGACACAGCAGCTCAGCGTCAAGATGACCTGCAAAACTGGGTCGAACAAGGATTGCGTACTCGGTCCCCACTGTCAACTCGTTGTCTCTAACATACACCACAACTTCTGCAGTTTTCCTGATTGCTCCTTGAATGGAAATAAAGGAATATTTAGAGCGTGAAAAATACTCTTGCTTGATTAGCACTGAAGAATTTAGTACTCTAGTAGCAGGCGCTTATTCCCAGCTCAACGTTTTCCGTTAACCACAGTTATCACTGCCAAGCTTAGATAAGACCTCCTTCGACACCCTGTAAAATCGTGAAGGAAGAAGAACAACAGGAAAAATTTGCCATATCAATGATTTATCGCATGACTGCCGAGGAAGACTAGATTATGAGCTGCGATTTAGCAGCGAGTACACATCCCCGCAACGATCTCTGAGGCAAAGAAATTCAGCATTATATCCGTAAATCCAGTCAGCAGTATGAATTTTCGCATTCTCAAAAAACCTACTAGCAACCTACAACCTACAAAGAATATGAATACGCCACGGAGAAGGCAGAGAGAACTGTCCGGTACGACTACGCTGAACCCCAACGAACAAAGATTTTGTCCAAGTAGGAGTCAAATGGTGATGTTCCAAGACTTCCATAGTTTGTGAAGATATACGTATGCACGGATGAAGTATTTACTTGCTTACTTTAGTTTGCTTTCAGAACCATGGTATTTTTGCCATGTTTTTTAAACTATTAGCTAAAATAATTGGCGGACCAAACAGTGAGTAGATGGCATTATTGATAATACTTTCGTTGGTTAGTCTTTTCTAAATTTTCGTTCTTTAGAAAGCAGACCCAATGCGAATTTCTGAGATTTCACTTAGCACTTCATGGATCTCATATCTCTTTAAAAACCCTTTAAACTTAGAGCACCTCACTTTATCACCTCCTGCTTTTGTGCGAAACAGTACTTTTGGTGAGTTTTACTTCTTGCTTCTTGCTAGTTGTAATAATTCTCCACCACCTATTTATCTAAAACATACGGTGATGGCATACTGTGAACAAAACAAGAACTCACTTGTAGCAAAGAGGAAAAGGAGTGCAGTTTTCATGACGAGCGTCTGGTTATGATTTCGTCAAAATCGGCCGTCACCTGGTGTCATGGCATTTGCACACCTGCCTACATAGCTGATTCGCCACTTCCACGCATGAATCAATGCAGGATACACGCCTAAGCTTTCGGCCTATTGGTTGTTTCTTGTAAGGGTTGACTGGGCATGTACTTATGTGAAGAAAATGATATACAAATGCGATAAAGCATACATCTCTCACTGACGTGCTGTGTGTTCAACTTCATTAAGAATGGTAGACGTGATCGACTGTACGTTTGACTTAAAAGTGACTTTTGCGAGCTGGTGTTGTATGAAGCCAGTGTCTTGGTACTCATTTTAGCCCTTAGGAACTGACGCCTAAATCCGTATGACTAACGCACCTACTTCAACAGTTGATTTTTCGGCTCACTCACTTTGGGTCGATGCCCACTCTCGTCGGGATTTAAGTGTTAAGGACTACAGAAAGTGGATGGTTAGCTTGTGGCTAAGGACTCAACCAACGATCTTCGTAGGGTATTTTTAACATATATGCTACATGCGCCCCTACAAATATAACAAATGTCGGGTCGACTGTGTCATCGTCATTTGTTACTTGTTTCTGCATTTACCATTTTTTATATTCAACATCAAAATTCAACGTTGTCGGGAGATTGTTACTAGACTTGTCTAGGAAAAAATCACCCTCTGCAAACCGTTTGGGAACGCTCCAGCCCAGCTGTCTCTGGACTTCAGGGAAAATTACCCGACCAGCATTCTACGACATTGAAGATGAAATGAAAATCCTCAAGCAGCAACCGAAGCCCCAGGTAAAAGATCTTCGTGGGCAATAGGTGCGAGGAAACGAATCGAATGTGGGAAGTGCTGACTTCCGCACATTATACGGGAAGTCGGTTCATATAAAATGAAATAAAATAAAATAAAATAAACTCAACTTTTCGTAGCTACATCCTCCACCATATGCATCGAACCAACAATCAGTTAAATCAAACGCACTGCTACTGCACTTTGGGAAACAGTTCTCCTGCTATTACCACTGAAGGCGAATAACTCTTCGTTAGTTTCTTATCGACTCCTCCATGTCTTCTTGACGTGAAGGGCAGTGTTTGGAGTTACCCTGCAGTGCACATGTCATCGTCACTGAGATGCCGCTGCTCCAGCTCACCAAGCCTTCTATCCTTTTAGCGTCTGCAAATTGGTACCAAACTTTTCTGGAGGGTGACAGCACTGACATGACACATCGGTAGAGACCGAAATTTACTATATAGGGCAAGTGAGCATTCAATAACCTACAATTGTGAGTGTTGAAGTCGCACGCATGGTGCATCCCTCAGGGATCGATCACCGCCGAGCCATTTTTCCTTATTCTTTTACTCCTATCTTTTTTTTTAAAGGAAACTTATGTATCCACAACGTTGCTGAGATATTTGCAAAACTCTGGACCGCAGGTGTCTATGGTGGGGAACGAACGCGCTATTATCCTTTCCGGGGAGTAACGCGTTCACCACCACACCATGCGGGTCCTTTGTTTCGCACGTCTCTCAGCTATTTCTATCGATCTTTTTGCCACAGCAATCACCCGTCATCGGGGTTGATCTGGGGAGCGCAAATCGGCATAGAACCCAGTTAAGCTATGGCTGTAGTTGAAATCACAATGTTTAACGTTTTGTTTTCTGCCTTCTATAATTTTCAT